CACTTAAATATTTAAAAACTTTTACAAAACGTAAACAAAAAGGTTTACACTTAACAAAAACTTGAAACAAACCTTTGTTTCTTTACCGAGCAAGATTTTACTAGCGTATTGTTTTTTTCGAGAGAAGAAAAACGATTGTACGGCCGTTAAAAAATTTAAGCGGCCAAGAAAGTCAAAGTAAATAAATAAAAAAGGAACTTTAGAGAAACCTTTGTCGATTTTAAAAGGGCTACATTATTTATTGTAAACCGCACCATAAAGTGTGCTAACAGATCGTTGAAGCTTTCTAGAAAGACCATTTTACACAATTGTTCAAATGATAAGGCAAAATAGAGAAAAAAAAACAAAAACATTAAAATTGCGATTAAAATTATTAAAATTGCAATTAAAATTGCGACTAAAAATAAATGTAGAATCTATTTCAGAGGAGGAAGAAATGTTTAAACATCAACTTAAAAGGGAACATATTTTATATGATTATAATTTTTTTCAAAATATTGAATTTATTGATGGTGGATTATTTGGAACAATTTCTCGTACATTTTCAAAGCATCATCAAGAACTTGTAGCATTAAAATCCATCAATATTGATCAACAATATACTTTTGAACAATTTCTTAATGAGGTAATAAAATTGTAAATCTTTTTTTTATCAACAAATTTATATATTCACAATTTGATTTTTAAAGGCAAAGCAACATCGTAAAGTAGAATTTCACAGTAATATATTGAAGTTTTATGGCGTAACAAAAGAAAGTGTGTTGAGTTTTTATTATTAAGTTATTGTTATATTTGTTATACTTTGTTAATTTAAATTTTTTTACATTTCAATAAAGAAAAACATAAAAAAAATTACATGTTTGTATTAGAGTATGCAAATAATGGTAATTTATGTGATTATTTAAAAACCAATTTCAATATAATGGATTGGAATGCTAAATTAAAATTTGCAAAACAAATTGTAAGTGCTGTAAGCTGTTTGCATGAAAATAAAATAGTACATAGGGATCTGGTATGTATAAACATTACTTATTTATATTTAATTATTTTTACATTTTTAATACATAGTAATAACTAATAACTAACATTAATATTTTTAAATAGCATCCTAAAAACATTCTAATTCATAATGGAGATATTAAAATTTGTGATTTTGGAATCTCAAAATCTTTATTGGGTCCTTCAATAGAAGCTTCCAAAAAATTTGGTACAATAAGATACTCAGATCCACAATATTTAAACGATATTGAAAATTATAGTCGCAATGAAAAATCAGATATTTATAGTATTGGAGTGCTTTTATGGGAGCTGTCAAGTGGCCATGCTCCATTTGCAGATAAGTCAATCAAATTCACCGATTTAGTGCTTATCATAACATCAGGTGAACGTGAAGCAATAATCAAGGGAACTCCAAGAAAATATGCAGAAATATATACAGGTAATAATGAGAAAGAATTATATAACCATTTGTTATAATTTTCAATGGACTGTTTTTGAAAATATTTTTTAAATAATAATTTATACTTAAAATTTTATTTTATAAAGCATGTTGGCAAGAAAATCCAGATCTCCGTCCTCATATTGATCAAGTTGTGCAGGATTTGGACAATGTAGACATAACTAACACTATTGAAGATATTGTTAATTTAACAAATCAAACTAATAATGAATTACAAAATGATGATTTATTATATTCAACAGAACTTTCCATCTCCATTATCAGCATGAACTGATAGTTTAAACAACACTTAAGTGATAAGAAAACATATAAAGTGTATAATATTTTAGTGTTATTAAACACACTCATACACACAGAGAAAGAGATATATATATATAGACTATTATTATAATAGATTTCTTATCATAAATTTATTGTTATAGATTTGTTATTTTTATAATTATGTTGACTCATAATAATGTATGTAATCTTTTAGGCATGCAAGTATTCATAATAATTTTGAGTATTTGCAATTAATTATGCGGGTACCGCATTCTCTGGAATATAAGCACCACTCAAATATAAGTAAGCACCAGTATGAATTTGCAATGAAAAAACAAAAAAAAAATAGAAAAATAAATAAATATAAATATATATTTTGAATTATTTTTATTTTTATATAATAAATAAAAAATAAGAAATTTTTTTATTTTGACTATCCTTTTCAAGAATTACCAGACTCCTCCTCTTCTAATTCATCTAATTCATCAGCTGAATCATCATTTCTATTTAATATTTCACGTTCATCTTCCTCATTTTCATTTTCATCCCCATCATATAAAATGTAACATAAATTATCTGAAATAAAATGTCTTGGATATAAGCACCACCCGCAGTTTTGTTGTGTCAAAATGATGGTGAATACGGTATTCATAATACTTTCAAACATTCATAATAACGACGATTGGCAATTGGCATATGTATATTAATATTTTCATTACATTTAAAAAATATCAAATTTCATTAAAATAATAATAACCTTTCAACATGACCATATTATAATGTGGTCAACATTATCATCATCGAAGTGGTGTTTCCTCTGTTTCAACAATAATATCAAAACTATTAATCGAAGAATTAGAAGTTGTGGTTGTGGTTTGATTTAGCGTTGGTCACCAAAACTGTTTTGAAGAGATGAAAGTTAAATTTATGTGTCCGAGACTGAATCAAAAATTAAAGGTCAAAGCGAAACATTTTGACTTTTACACAGCTGCAAAGTTCTCTAGTTTTGAAGACCAATAATAGTTGGATTCGATATTGAGGATTCCTGGTTATTTATTAAATTTGCATTCCAATAACCATTTTGTCTTGACCCACTGAACTCAAATGGCGAAGTTAAAGCTCGAGTTCGAACATAAATTTTCTTTAGGTAAACAATTTAAGAGCCTATTTTTTGAACTCAGCTCAAACTTGACAATTCAAGTTTTAACTCAAGCCTGCTCATCTTAGAGTTTCTATTCAAATAAAATAAATAATAAAACGAATAATAAAACGAATGATTCGAACAAAACGAATAAAACAAATAATAATTTGTATAGAAACTCTAGAAGACCCGAAATATTAATATAAAATTTTAATTAAATGAGCCTTGGGAAATTCTTGTTTATTAAATTGTTCGACTGTCATTTGTTATATCAGTGGTCACATATTAACAATTAAATTTCCAATTCCTTTACATTATATGATGTTTTGTATGTTTAATATCATGACCACCACTATTAGGCTTGCATATTTCAGTACATGCTCGATTTTCTCTCCTTTATTGTTAATATCAAGCTTAAAACTCAAAACTGCTTCAATTAGGTTATCAAGTTTATCCAAATTGGTAAGAGGAACTGTAATATTTTTTTCTTCATTCAGTGCTTTTAATGCCAGGTATAAAACCATCTCTATCAATAATGCATATATCAAAAATACTTTTCTTGAAATTCTCCATGAAACGATTGAATCCTGGGAGAGGAGGAGTCTATTTTCTTTAGGTATAATAGAATTGGAACGGAAGAATAAATAAATAGGAGGCTGAAAATCGAAATACAATAAATGGTTAACTATTTATTTACCTTCAAGTTTAAATTCATAAGATATTTATTTATAACTTATCTGGAGTAATTCTCCAATTGAATCCTTGAACAGAAGAATCCAATTTATCGATTTTAACCGGTTGGCTAATAACCTTTTGTTGATAATCAATTAATGAAACGGTTTCAAATGAAAATTTCGTCTGTTTAAGCAAAAAATGGTTAATGTAAAAGAGTAAGGCCAAATATACTTCCAACACATTCATTGGGTCACGAAGAGCTATCCTAAAGTTTTCAACGTATCTTCAGTAACTCGTTTGTTTTTTTTTTTGCTTCATTATGCCCAAAATACGTTAAATCTAGCTACTTGGTTTGGTGCAGATCACATTTAACTTGCAACACCGATAATGTTTGCATGGTTTATTTATATCAAATTTCAGTGCTTTTAATAACTTCTAATTATCTTATCTAAAGGAATCGATAGGAGTAAATACGGTCTGTGTTTCATATTTACATTTTTTCGAATTCGAGACTGAACGGAACTTGTTCTGAAATATGTCTTTGAGTATATGTATGTGTTATAATTGAAAATCAAAAATTTGAAATTTAATTAAAAATTTGTGTTTATGTTGTGCGTGGAATTTTAAAATTCACACGGATTTCAAAAATGGGTTTATCTTGCTTTTTTTACCTTTTATTGAAATAATAAAAGTTGTTGTGTCATTTTTGTTTATTTCAGCAGACTGCTTCCACAACTGCTCTTGAAGTTGGATGTTTGTCTTGATGTATATTATGTCTTATGTTAACTTGTATATATGAACTCTTCCAAAATTTGGTACTGTACCCCAGCCCGCAAAGATAATCAATCAATCAACATAGTAAAATTTGACAGAAATCTGTTCAATTGACACGTTACACTGCACAAAAAAATTTTCAAAGATTGCATTAAATCAATAGATCAAAAAAAGCAACATCAAAGGTCGCACACAGAATTTCTATATATGATGCATGGCTTTATGAATTTTATTGGTCGAATAAAATGGATATTCCAGCCAGATAAAAGTCAAAGAAAAATTCTCGATCATGCAGTATGATCAAACGTTCTGATAGACAGAGAGGAGTTGTGCTGTAAAAGCATATAGGAAAACAGAAACCACAGAATCTCAAATTAAATATCGAAAATGTATGCCTTGTATCTTTATTTAATAATCTTATTGATAAAATATACATAAAAAATAATAATATTATAGATATTGATAAAAATATACATAAAAATAATAGCATCATAGGTGCACTCCATAAGGTATCATCGCTGGTTTTACTGATTTCGCTTTGAATTACGTTGGCCAACGGTTGGGTATTGGCTTTTCAACAAGGCCTTTGTCTTCTTCAAAGCGAACCAAGGCATCTCTTGCATGAATACAAGGTGCAATAAGAGATTCCAAATTTTGTTTGCTGAGCGATCTTTTCCAAAACAAAAGAGCATTGGATCAATCTATCCAGTGCCCTCTTCACACAAGGGTCTGTTGAATATCCAAAACGAAATATTGATTATCCTTTTTCAATTAGCCAGCTTGCAGGATAAGTTTTTTCGTCCACGTGGAAATAAATGCCGGCTTGTTATTAAGTTAATCCAACTTTTCTATCATCGCCTTCCCTTCTTCCACAAGCTGATGTTTATTAAACAAAGCCCCAATCCAACTTTATTTTATTCAGTCAAAGCCCTGACTTTTTCAAGAAGCTTGCTAAATTCGGATATTTGTCTTAACATTCAATCAGCCTCTTCGACATCTTGTAAATTATTGTACTTTTCCATGTCAAACTTATTCAGGTCATAGTGGGTTAACGAAGAGGCGGATTTAATAGATGTAACCATTTTGGAGGAATTTTTTTTTTTAATCGCTTGGATAATTAAAAATAAAATAAGCAATGATGAATGATAGAAAATCATCGTTTTACAAAAATTTATATAAGATTAGATATTACGAATATAGAAAATTTTCGTTTTACAAAATTTTTAATAAACATCTACTTTCCTATTTTGTCTTTATTATTTTTTCGAATGAGCCTTTTTCAAGTAATTAATTTGATCTGTGTACCTTAGCTTTCTAAGCTAGCCAAGAACATATAAATCATCAGAAATCTAAATAAGAATCTTCCAAAAGGTTTTGAATTTTCTTTTAAAAAAAAAGAATATTATGAATCCTATTTTACCAAGTTCTTTTCTTTGCGAATACGTTTCCAGCTGATGAAAACAACCTCTCGGATGATACTGAGTTTGCCAATATTGCCAAGTAAATTCTTGCTTGCATAGCAAGATTTGAAAACTACCTTTTTTTGATTCCACCAAACAAGTGGATCTTCTTCCAATAAACTTTTTGTAATGTGTACATGTTTGCAATACCTAATTAATGTTAAAGCAATTGAAATAAAAAGTTGGCTAATAAAATTATCAATTGTTTGATATCAAAAAGGTTTATTTACCTTTTACTTGATTAACAATGTTAACTTCTAGAAATGCCAGAGGAAAATTTTTTACAAAAAAGAAAATCAGCCAGAATTAATTCTTGGAGTCATTGATAATCGAATTTTGAATATTTGAATAAAACACTAACCACCTGTTTGAAGTTAATCTGCAAAGAACAGATATTCAAATAATAAGCTTGCCAATTTTGTGTGGTCTACTTTAAATTTTTTTTTAAAAAACGAGATGGATAAAATATTAGTATTTGGGAAATTCTCCAATTTATCAACCAATTATTGAAATTCGAGAACTTTCTCCCCCATTCAGCTCTCCCAAGTAAGTATAATTGGGGTTTGTCTAATGGATTATTAATCCAATAAAGAATTCTTTTTCCAGTGACATGGGACATTATGGGAATATTGTATTGTACCATCTAATGATGTAAACTTTTGACTTTAGCCATTGACGTAACTAAAGTATTAACTAAAGATAGTGTTATTTCGGCGATTTGACTAAGCTAAAAGCCCTTACGTAAGTAAAACCGCTTGACGTAAGTGAAGACGCTTGACGTAAACAAAAACGCCTGATACAAGCAGGGTGCAATAATGGTAATGATAAATAGGATTATCAAAAGTCCCAAATTATGTAAAAGAATTATTATTGTATTATCATGTGAGATTTACAAATTAAAATGTCATAAATTTGAATTAGAAATTTTACTATTTTTTTTTTTGCAAATTAAAACTATTCTTTTATTAGATTTCATAAAATCAAATTGTCTTTACATTCATATGAGTTATGTTAAATTGATGTTTTTTCGAATTTTTGACTTTGAAGCAACATAGATTGATCAATATTGGTACTTAGGACGACCTTTACATAGCACATAAGACAGGTTTTGGTACATAATTTTTGTAAGTTTTAATTTTGTTTTCTATTTTTATCACTTTTAAATCTTCAAAGAATGCTGAAATGCTTTTATTGTTGAATCACGATAAATCCGATCACTAGAGAGTTTGGTGACGATGAAGTTGTTCTTTAAATAATGCAATTTTCGTTTTTCAGTTTGCATCCTTATCAATTAATCCTAGAGAAAAACTTAAAGGCAATCAAAAAAATGTTGTGCGAAAGAATTGTCATGTCAATTCTCCGCCACAAAGAAAAAGGAAATAATGTAACCGTTATTTTCAAAAAATCTCCACATTCATATTAAAACACCAAGTTGAACTTTATATTTTATATTTTTTTATATAATGTCACATGCTAAATTATTATCGTTTTTATCACCAGAAAGAAAGGAGTTTGTATTTAAAACCAACAATGAAATGTTTGATGGTGCATGAAGGATTATTTTTTTTCATTAATCAAAAAAAAAAAAAAAAAGGAGCTTTTCTGAAAATGAAAAAGAATATTGTAAAGAAAGATTTATTTATGAGTTTGAAATAAATAATGCAATTTATAAATGGAGTAAGCCAAAAGAATATAATAAGTGTAAATTGACATGATACTCTGATAGATTCTGCAAAGGTTGTATTAGTTTACACTTACAGAGTCTTTTCACTGATTGGACATCTGGAACTAGCATAATTGATGTTTTTATTCAACAATGTCAAATGAAATTATCTTTGCCAGACTTTATTTTAGAATGGGTACCTTTTGAGCAATTTGAAAAAGTAAAAAAGGTGTATTTTTACTGCTACATGGACAAGAGGAAGTATTAATGATTATGATGAAATTAAAAAGGAATTTATTTATTTTGGAAGGCAAAATGTAGTATTAAAAAAATTTAAATAATTCAAGTAATCCAGGAAAAACATTTTTTGATGAGGTTGGTAGTTGTCATTTAAAACAAAAATAAATAATGCAGTATTATATAATACTAATTGATTTTATATTCAATTTCAGGCAATGAATTATAAATCACAATTGATTGTTTATTGTTATGTATGGTATAACTAAATTCCCAGATAATGGAAATTATGCAATAGTTTTAAATCATTATCCAGAAGGAGACTTAAGGGGTTATTATTTACAAAAAAATCGTTTAAATTTAACATTAATGCAATCATTGTCTATTTGTATATTGCATTACATTGTATACATGTAAAATATTTAATCCATTGTGATTTACATAGTGGTAATATACTTGTGAAGAACGGTATTGGTTATATTACAGATTTAGGATTTTGTGGTCCAGTTGATGAAAAGTCATCAAATAAAGCCTATGGAATTGTATCATATATTGCACCTGAGCTATTTAATGGAAATAGGAACACAAGAGAATCAGATATCTATAGTTTTGGAATGTTAATGTGGGAAATATTTGCTGGTCATCCACCATTTGATGATAGAGCTCATAATTATTGTTTAATTTTTGACATATGTGAAGAGAGTTTACGACCACCAATATCGCCAGGAATGCCTGATGATTATGTGAAAATGATGCAGAAGGTGTTGGGATCCGCATCCATCAAAAAGACCAAATATTGAAGAGCTTTATGAATTCGTTATAAATAAATCGGAAGAAAATTTTAAAAATGAAGTTTGAAAAATAATAGTAGCGATAATAGTTTTTAATTTTAATAAAATCAATAAAAAAATTAAAAAAAAAAGTGAAATTGAACAACAAAAATCACATCCAGATGCATATCATACATGTAGAATATTAGATGAAGAGATTGCTAAATCTAAAAGATTTAAAAGTTATACAAGTAATAACAGTTCGTTAAATAATTTTGATTTTAACTCTTTTCTCCAGAATGTTAACAAAAGTGAATAAAAATTCCATTAATTAATTAATTAATTAATAAACATTAGATTCTGGTAACAATAGTAAAAGAAAGAATTGATGAATAACTAATTTTAATATTTATTTATCTTTTTATTTTATCCTTATTTTGTTTCTCAAAGCTAAATTATAATAATGAACTTTTTACAGTTTTTTGATTCTTATTAAATGGTGATATTGCGAGGTACCATTTCGGTTAAGTAACAATTATGGCTTAACTTTTGGGCTACTCCTGTCAGTTAATTCAATTAATTAGTTTACGAGTTTACTTTGGTTCTCACTTTCTTGTACCTAGACAAATTTGTGAGCACGCTTAGTAGTACCAGATAACTGTAAATAAATAAAGATGGCCTTTTACAAGCTCAAGGGCTTCTATAAAGTTTCTTTTATTCACTTGCGATCGATTTATTTCAGTCGTTTACCCTTGTTTACATTTATTGGCCGATTGCAAACAACTTAAGTAGCTTGTTTAACAGCCTTACATTTCCGATTACAATAATATTATCAATATTTCCGATTAACCTTTAGACGATACTTCATTAACACACACTAGTTAACCCAAACCTTTGCTTACTTACTAAAGCAAATTACGTTATTAATCGTTGTTAACACTCACAAGTTAACCAACGTTAGTCCTAACCTTGCTTGCTTGCTCACTAAAGCAAACAAACGTGGCTTTTTACCAAAGCTCCACAATTGTTACCTTTACCGAGGCATTAGCTACACTTGTTGCTTTTATCAAAGCGATTTAAACAAAGAAAATAAAGACAATATTTTTATTTTCTATCACAGAGTTTTATTTTATTAGATGTTAATTATCTATTAGCTCCCTCTGCGAGGACTCAAAGTTATGCTTTTTCAAGCGAAGACCGGAAGTTATCCTTAATAAATAAAGATAAAGACAAAGATAGGTTTATTATTGTAAAGTAATTTAACAATCAATATTGATATTATAAAAACTTCCATAATTGTTTATACAGTTAATTATAAAAAGCTTTTAAATTAGTTGACCATTAAGTACCGAATTCCTAATCTATGATTTTATCTACCCTGGTCATGTATCACGTTATTAAGAAATGCCCGAGTTTAGTAGTAAATGAGTGTGTGGGACTGAATTTTTTATCAGCAAAAGACAAACTTGGCTTCTTGGAAACAACTGATGAAACAAAAGAGAGATTGGGACACACAAGAAATATATATATGTAGAAAAAGACCTTGGAATATATATTCATAAGTTTTTTTGTGAGCTTTTATATTTTATCACCAATAGTTTTACAACTTTGGTAACATTTCGTCAAACAACATTAGTATCATCTCAACTTCATATATTCTTCAACAGCAAAATAGAATAGACCAGAGTAATTAAAATATTGTTGATAAGAAACGACCAAAATACTGTGGGGAGGTGTGAGATAAATTATTTTTATTCTGTACATGACAATGTAAATATACCCAAATTTTGAACTTCTAGGATGTTTACAATAAAGATGACTAGGGCACCAATGCATCATGCGTTATGGACCCTTCCATAATTTTTGTGGGTTGTATAGATTTTCATTATGTACGTTAGAATTATTGTTAGAGTTTTCTATTTGCATAACTTGAGATGTTGCCATATTATGTTAGCCCGAAAGAAAAGAAATATTTGATAGTCAATGCTTCTTATGTTTTGCAAAATGTACCTGACGCAATACATTTCAGGGCGGCTTTGTGATAACGAAATCAACGAAATTAACCAATACAGCAATATAAAATCATCACCTAGTAAGAAGTTTCTAAAGTACTGTAGAAAAAAGAAAAGCGTCAAAGATGTGAAACTTCATTCATCCCCAAAATTAATTTCGTAATAAAAATAAAATTGAGCAATTCGAATTGGAGTTACTGAAAAATTCCCTATTCCTTTCTCAAAATGTATATCCATCCCAATGAGAAACGGCATGTTGTTGAAAATTTTGAAGATTGTAGAAAGAACGGACGTCTTGGGTAGGTAAATGAATCAAGTAATCGAATACTTAAAATCGTGGTGACATCATTGAGTAATATAAATAGGTAATACAAGATTCTAATTCAGATTAAAAATTTTTTCTTTTTTTAAAAAAAAAAAAAGTCCAAGGTAATTATTATATATATATTTTTTTTCAGTTTATGAAATAACAAATGATGATTAAATTGTCGCCCCAGTCCGAATTAAAATTGTGTGGATAAGACAAAAACATAGTGAAAAGCCAAACAAACACTAATTTCTGAAAATATATATTTAATAAATTGTTTTTCTTTTTGTATTTTTTTACTAATTAAAATATATTTCTAACATTTATATATTTCCTATAATATCGTTTAGAATTAACGTCATCTCCTTAATTAAAGGTAAATAAATATTTGTTCTTTATTTGCTATTTTTTCAAATTAGAAATTTTTTAAAAAAAAAATTTTAGCAAAATGATTAATTAATTAGTACTATCAAATTCTGAATTCATGAGGATAGAATAAATAATGATTGTATTTATTGTTGTATTATTTATGCAAATTTTAATCAAGTTTTAATCATTTACTTACTTTTTAATCTTGTGTATATATATATATATATAATAATGTAGGGTTATATAATTTTTAAAAAAGGTGTGTATATATCAATATATTTAATAAATTGACTTATAACATTATGATGTTACGATAACCATGCTAATTCTGAGAGTATTAATAACAATTGATATTATGCTGAAAGCATTTTCTTTATATATTCTGAATGTTTTTTTTTTTTTTACATTTAAAAAATTTTTTTATAATAATTTATTTAATTTCTTTAATCTTTTTTTTTAGGCGAAGATCATAAAAATATTGAACTACTATTGGCTATTAATTCCTTGATTCGATTCATTTTCTAATAATAACTTAATAAAGAAGTTCTTATCTGTCTGTCTGTCTGTATATTAATCAATCAATCAACTGATTTTTTTCTGCTTAATGTCAACTATTTGACCAAATGCTATTATAATTTATATGAAATAATTTTAATGATTTGATCAATGTGCATTAATGTCGTCTAACAATATTAGCTGTTTTTTCTTGAACAGGAATTACTAACCTGACAAATACAAAGAATAAAATTTCGCCAATTCTTGTTTTGTGACTAGTATAGTTAAAAATTGTTATTTAACTTTCCAAGTTTCCAAATCATATAAACATTCGCATTTAAATCATTCTTAAAAATACTTTAAGGCTCGATTTGAAATAACTTGATTGACTCGCACTACTAACATTGCTTTTATTATTATTTTTAATATTTATAAATATAGACAATTTTCATCGAACTTCTTAAAGTATGCGCAATGAGCTGGATTTACAAAATTATTTAATTGTAGAAAGAAAAACCATGATTTTAGTTTTATTAGTTTTTTATACATGCTAGGAACATAAATTTTACGTAAAACACAACACGAACAAACTGATACAAATTCCAAAATTTCTGCAATTGTCATAACTGCTCCCGGATACTTTTTCCCAAGTGGCGGGAACATTCTTTGCAAACTAAATTATTTGATGACCTAAGATTCACATTTCTATCCATTAATCGCAATACATTGATGCGTGACTCAAAAATATCAACATTAATGCATTAAAATTACTTTGAAATGTCTTTCATTATTCGTGATTCTTTCTATTTTTAATTATTCTTTCTTACAATTTTTATTAGGATAAAAGCCAAACAAAATGATAAATAAACAATAGATGATTGGATTGTGATGTATCCGAGTCACCTAAAAATTAGCATATTTTCTTAGCACAAAGTAAGCTATAATTCGGAATAATTGTCTCCTTTACTGTGACAACAACGTTGTCTCAACTCATTGACATCAAACTTACGATTTATTTTTGGTGATTTATTTTCTCACTAAACTAGTTTTGGTTTCTCCTGAAATTTAAGGTTTTGGTCGCAGCATTTATTCATTCATTCATTAGTCAACAACTCATGAGCCTTATCTTTAAAAATGCCATTAATTCTATAAAAAATTACTTCAAAATCGAAAGAAACCCTCTTATTATTAATTAACAAACCGAATATATCAAATTTCAAACTCCTTTTCCTATAAATGAAACAAGTAACAATTTCAAAGTTAATCAATCCAATTTTTTAGAGATGTTAGTAGCATGCGACTTGGGCTTTGACAATGAGGTAAAGGCATAGATCGGAGTTACATTTGATCGATATTGACAATCTGACATTTTGATTGAATTCGGTGAAAATTTAATGTACTCTTTAACTCTTGTAATGGTAATTCTGTTCCTAATGAAGAGATGTTGGTTCTTTTGAGTGTATTTTTAAAGAAATAAAACTGCAATAGAAAATATAAGGTCAAAGTTGAAACTCTCTGGAATAAATAGTTTATAATGAATTTGTAGCTTTTAATTCGAAAGATCCTAGAACATCTAATGACTTCAAAATGCTGAATTAAAAGAAAATTTTTTTAATAGGAGCACCAAAAGCCGTTTCTCCTTTTCTGAAAATGAATTAGTTGATTTTCAAGTAAGTGGTGGTTTTATTTTTTAAATTATGCATATTTATATATTAAATAGAATATAACAAAAAGTTGGGCAGAAATTTTTGTCAAGCTTTTTAAATCCTTTTCTCCATCTGGCTTGTCATTGCCCAAGCTATATTCATGGGTACATCACACATCTTCTTCCATTGAATACTTTGGTTCACTCAATGGTCAAACAGCTGAAACATATGAATCACTTCACAAATCATCAGTTAAAATTCCTTATAGGTACACAAATAAAAGAAATCCTGTTAATCAAATGTTAAATCATGTAAATACATTTACTTTATCATTAACAAGTTTTTAAAACTTAATTATTTCTGATTCTAATTTGTGTATGTACTGTATATAAACAAGACATTTCAACCATAGTTTGTGATTCTCTTAAAAATACTCAAAATAAACCAAACAAAATAAATGGTCATTCTAAATTGATAAAACCAACATTAAAATTTCTACTTGCTAATATTTATGACAATATAAATAATGAACAACTCAAATCAAATGAAACTATTGATGTATTAAAAAATTTAATCCCTTGTCTTGATAATAGCCAATAAAAAGACTATTAACAAACATATAGAAGTTCAGCTTTTTGAAACAGCAAGGCTGCGTTCTGATGAATATATAAGATGCACAGAAAATTTTTATTCTGAACCTATGTTTAGTAATATTATGATTTGTATGAATGAAGAAGATTTAAAAGGTTATCCAAGTGATAATGGAAAGTGTTATGGAAAGGTGTATTTATTATCAATAAATCAATCATATTAATCAATCAGTAATATTTATAATAAGATTTATCTAGGTCCTATTATTATTTAAGCTTACAAATTCCAATTTATTTAAATGAAGACTTGGCTTTAATTCAGTGGTATGATTTTAAATATACAAATGATCCAAAAAGATTTTATAAATATGAATGTCCCTATCTTAAATTAATTAATTAAGAATTATAACATTATTGACATGAATGCAATTGTTTCAAATGTTCATATTATTCCACACCATAACTATCAGAATGCATTTTTTGTGAATAGATTTATTTTTTAATTCATTATATGTGTATTATTGATATTTAACATAAAATGTCAAATTGATTTTATTTTACAGGAAGTAATTCTACATAAAATTTTATTATAGTAATATGGGGTGTGGACAATAGAAACGGACCATGTTGTGAAAAAAGCAATTTTGAGTTAGTATCACTATTATATGTAAT